AAACAGATTAACTGATTCCTCTGTCCAGGCGAGCTATCAGTCTTCACTGGCATATGCACTCAGTTGCAATCCACCGCAAGAAGTGGAATAACACTGGACTTGTATACGGAAAGCGATGACCATTTCCGGACAGTCATGCTGCGGTCTAACTCGACGCCCTTTGAAGTCTTGGATCTCTGCTCGTTCTCTGGAGCTGTTCGAACGCCGCAAAGATATCCCCACGGAATCAGATTGCAACGAGCTGCGCCGTTCTGCCAACCGGCTGCTCACGTAAAGCCTACGCAAGGATCGCGAGACATGGTGGTCTGGACGTGCTTTAGACATGGAGACTGCTGCCCTCTCTGGCAACACTCGCAGGCTTTTCCAACTCATTCGGTCCACTGGCCTCAGGAAGCCTGGTGTCAGTGAGGTCATTTGTGAGGTGGATGAGTCTCCGATCACCAGCCAACAGGCGTATGGACCGCTGGGCCGAGCACTTTCACTCGCCTCCACCATCCATCAGTACATGCAGTACACCTTGTTGTCCACCCTGGCTCGTCCCATTGAATCCACCCAGCGAAACGGAAGTCTGCCTCGAGATTCGACGCTTGAAGCGCTTCAAGGCTGCCGGCTTAAACGGACTTCCTCCGGAACTATTCAAGTACGGCGGTGTGGCGATCATTAACCAGCTTACTGCGCTGTTTGCCAATATTTGGTATGAAGAGAAAGTGCCTTCCTCTTGGGGCGAATCAGTTATTGTCCCGATTTTCAAGAAAAGCGCTTGCACTTCATGTGCAAATCATCGCGGGATTAGTCCTATTTCGGTTGCCTCTGCTTCGCAGACTATCCCCAGTACGTGAATCATACTACTGTGAAGAACAAGCTGGTTTCCGTCCTGGCCGCGGATGCGTTGATCAAATTTTCACGCTCCGCCAGCTTCTCGAACATCGCCACATTTATCACAGGCCCACTATCGTTGCATTCCTAGACATACGTGCCGCTTTCGATTCCGTTGACCGACCTGCTTTATGGCGATGCTTGCTAAAGAACGGGATGTTTGAGAAATATACTACCATTTTACGAGCACTTTACCTTCATACATCCGGCAGAGTGAGGGTCTATGGCAAGCTTTCCTCGCAATTCGATGTCAATAACGGTGTGCGATAGGGCTGCCATATGTCCCCATTCCTCTTCAACTTCGCAATCGAAGACGTTCTGTCGAATCCTCTAGAAAGTTTCCAACATTTTGGCCTAGAGCTTCTACCGGGTGAGCGCGCGACCGACTTACATTACGCTGATGATATCGCCTTACTTGGTGACGATCCTCAGGGTATGCAACTCATTCTGGATCGTTTGGCGGTTGAAGCATCTAAGTATGCCATGAGCTTCGCTCTATCGAAGTGTAAAGTACTGCTCAAGGATTGGCTTTCATCTGCTTCCGTGCTCACTCTCGAAGGTGCACAACTTGAACAGGTAGATAGTCTCGTCTACCTTGGGAGCTGTTTCTGCTGACGGCACTATCAACAAAGAGGTTTCGCTTCGTATCGCTAAAACTCGATCAGCATTTTTCAATCTGAGGCACTTGTGGCGTCGTCGTGACGTCTCATCCTCACTAAAGGGCCGCATTTACAGCGCATCAGTTCGCTCAGTATTGTATGTGTGAGTCCTGGCCGATTCGCGTGGAAGACATGCGTCGTTTTTCTGCGTTCGATAACGGTTATTTAAGGAGCATCGCTCGTGTTTGGTGGCAACATCGAGTTAATAGTAATGATGTTCGACGTCGCACCTTGTGGAATGCGAGCATTCCCTTCAAAAGACTGGTTTTGTTGCGCCAGTTAATATGGCTCGGTCATGTCCTACGCATGGCACCTGAGCGCCTACCACGTCGCGCTCTATTCGCTCATCAAGGACCTGGCTGGAAACGACCGCGTGGTGGTCAGCCTTCCACTTGGCGGCAGCACATGAAATCACTGACGTCGTGTCTAGTCGCTTTTGGATCCGTACGTCTTCCAGGATGGGGACCCAAAGATGAGGAGTGCTAATGGCTTAGGACTCTTAAGAACATGGCCCGCAACCGGAATCAATGGAAGAATTGTGTACAGTACTGTATTGATTCACATGTTTAAAACTACCAACATTGAAAATGACAAAAAAGAGCAAAATCGTCGTGTGAAAAACAAACTAAAAATGTTTTGTCCTACTTGTCAAAATGTTTAATTCTTCCTACGGCATGTTAGCTGAAGTGTGTTGCTTACCTTCAACTACCATGCCACGATGATTATGACCCAATGACTTCCCCTTATCTGCTTATCTCCACGGCTTTGTGGGCTCTGTGTCTAGTTGCTAGACTGTTGAGATTACAATGCAAGTGTTCTCTTCAACAAACTGGCTTTGTTGCGCCAGTTGAGATGGCTCGGTCACGTCCTACCCATGGCACCTGAGTGTCTGCCGCGTCGCGCTCTATTCGCTCTTCAAGGCCCTGGTGGGAGGCGACCGCGTGGTGGTCTTCCTTCCACATGGCGACAGCACATAAAATCGCTGACGTCGTGTCTAGCCGCTGTTGGACCCGTACGTCTTCCAGGATGGGGACCTAAAGATGAGAAGTGCCAATGGCTTAACACACTTGAAGACATGGCCCGCAACCGGAATCAGTGGAAGAATTGTGTTGATTCACATGCTTAATACTTCAAACACTGAAAATGACAAGGGAAAAATCGGCGTGTGAAAAACAAACTAAAATTGTTTTGTTCTACTTTTTGTCAAAACGTTCCTTTTTTCTTGCGGCATATTAGCTGAAGTGTGTTGCTCACCTTCAACTACTATGTCACGATGATTATGACTTCCCCTTATCCGCTAATCTCCATGGTTTTTTGTTGGCTCAGTGTCTAGTTGCTAGACTGCTGAGATTACATACATCAAATCTACAGACGCACAGAGGCTAGTTACTTTCAACCACCAGTGCCTTCGCAACTTAGCTCACAGCTTGTGGGAACACCGCATGAGCAATGTGCGTGTTCGGCGTTTTGTTTATGGTGCGGGAAGAGGCAGTGAACCGCCCAGCACCATTACTGCACGCACCAGGGCGTGATACGCATGGCAGCACACCGACTCCAGCGACGCACGTTGTTTGCGCTGCTAACCAATGACTTGGCCAAAAGTAATGGAGACCCTCATTTCGAAGCTGATCTCGATTAGAACCTGTTGGCTCAGTGCTTGGGGTTTAGAAGACGATCACGTGTTTAGTTGGATACACTTGTTAGCATGACGAAGTACACACCTCATTGGCGTTTGTGTTGTGAGTCTCTTTATCACGCTTAGCCTCAGCGATTTCGACGTCTGCGCATGGTATAAAACAAAGCGCAAAAATGTTTCGTTTTGTTTCTTTTTCACTATTCTTACTTCCGTCCAATCGAATTTTTATTGTCACAGTTGCTGGATTGTTTTTTCTCCCCCAGCCAACGTGTAGAATGTTTACGATGTCTGAGCATGTCTGACACGTTACCTTTAAGTCGACCATTGCCTTTACATTTTGAGCTCGTTTTTAACTACCGAGGATTCAACAGTTTCCACTAAATATTGTTAACATTTTCTTTGGCTACACTCCTTCAGGGTCACTAGCACTGTACTGCCTTGATTTTTTGAAAAAGAAAATTGCGATACTGCGCGTTCTACGCGAACAGTTACAACTTGAAGAATCATCGTCCCGTTTGACACACTGGGCTCCGCCACTGTACCTACAACAGGAAGCAAATACTGATGCTTTACTCCATCACCGGAAATTATTACCTACATATACAAGACCGTTTATTCGGGTGACACATTTAGCGGGAGCCTGGTTAGCGGTTCCACAAGACAGGGAAACTTTTATTTGTACACCAAAACGTTCTCTGTTTGCACTGTTGAACGCTACTAGCTGGGGGCCCGAAAAATGCACAGCACACGGGAACGGTCGCGCGTTGCTATGGAAATTGGCGCTAAGCGCGTTGTTCGACTTAAGCAATCGAACTCAATGTGCAGTTCCGCAATCCGCACCGGTCACCTTAGTGTACAATGAAATAATAATTTTAGTTAAATTTTTACACCGGGAAATCTCCAGACTGCTGCACACCTGCGCCCCACGGCATTTTTTCTATCCATACTATTGGCATTTTTAGTGTTGCTATTTTAGTCCATCCGCGGTAGTTACTACATGCCGAAAATGCACCCACTCGGGTACATAAAGCCCATATTGACTTGATTTGTTCCGGTGCTGATGTAAGGTCACTGGGATGTCTTTATAGAGGTGTCCGATCAGGTTTAACCAACAGGTCCTTGAACTCTGCATTGTGCTACGGTTAGCTGACTATTCAGGAAACGGTTGGCAAATTCTCCACTTGAAAATCTGAAAACGATCAGGCTCATGTGGTTCGGTGCTTTCTCTTTCAAGCGCCAGGCACTTTCAATCGATTGCAGGCCCTCAACACTACTATTTTACCCAAGCTAATTCTGTCCTGGATGATAAAAACTATCGCATTTTCCTATCTACGGATTTGTGCGTATATCTCCGATACTCGGATTAACTCATTTGATAGAAATCTTATCACGGAGCAGGCTATGATTCAAACACCGTCCGTTCTACACACCTTACATGCAAGTCTTCAAGTAGACTACTATTGGCACTGATCCTGAACTTTGATGAGCTCTATATGTGGTCTTTATGTACTCATATCGCACTAGATGTTGTCCACCGGTTACGCTTACCTAGGGGTGCCATGCTTACTGGCTCGGAACACTTGCCCCTTACTCTCGTGTCTCATTCTTATTTTTCCGGATGTCTTACGACACATGTGGTCTCAGCCGTTCGTGATCACTTGAACATGCCTGGTATGTGTTACCTGTGCAGCGTCTACATTGATGATGAATGTTTGCACTGGTTTTAGTGTTGAATGATAGGATTATATATTTGGAGTTGCCCGCACTGTTATTTGAATATTTCAGATGCTGAGAAATAACCGCTCTCTTTTTTCCTGCCTCGCATACAGCTTGTTGGTGACATAGACTCCCGGTTTTCAACTTCTGAAACGGAGGAGCTTCTTGCTATAATAGCACGACATTTCCCAGGAGGCGTATCTGCTAGCCATACGATAAATTCCATGGGGACTATTAATGAATCCGAAGAATCCTCCTGACTGCATCGTCGAACGGATCGGCGCGTCAACTATTGTTGAATTCTGTAGTTTTTATGTACATGTTTGTTACTGGTTGCGTGATTCGAATCATACCATCCGTCGTAACATCGACCTGTACTGCGTTGTTTTTGTTTTCGTCACCACCGCACACTTTTCACAGATCGTGATTTTTACTATCTAGCTCCGGTGTACGACATGTAAAATGTCACCATTATCAAATATTCGCACGGGTCACAATGCATGGAGTTTAGGGTGGATTTCACGGTTTAAAAGGTTATATCGGTGCACCGTCGTGGGCTGATGTTTTCTTTCTTCATCGTCGGATGCAACATCAGCATGTAGATGCACCGTTATCCCAGTCAACGTAATAGGTCGCTTTTCATACTGCATACATGACAGTGTTGCCGTTCCAACAGCTTGCTCACTACCTACCAACCATTACCAAAAGGATAGAGTGACCAGCTCAGTTATTCAACCATGTGCATCAGTGGAATGGATCCAATCGCTATGTAAATTATAAAAATAATGGGATCATTTCAAAAGTAGTAGAAAAATCAAAATCATATGGAAGATTTAAGCTAGAATTAGGTGAACACAAGGGCGCCGATGATTATATGGCTACGCCATAACTGATGTAGTCTACAGTCTGGCTGAGTCCCAGGCCCCTATCCAGAAAAACGACGCGCACGCACCCACACCACAATTGCAGCGTTTCTTAATACAGTTTTCAATGGTGTATTTCGCGACCAGCGTCGTTTTGGCTTTCCAGATAGAAGTAGCCGGAGCTGGGGATGGAATCCGGGACGTAGTGGTTGACGGCTAGTACCTTGAGTATTAACCCATTGAGCAGCGATTAGGAATTCACCTTTGTTATAATCGCAGTTGAGGCGTAGAACCGTCTAAACAAAGGCTTCATCGCATCGGACAGTGTATAGACCAAATATCAAGTCATAAGATACTGGCAAGACAGCCGACAATACAGGACAAGGTGAGAGAGTGTGCCAGAACGCCTCGCGTGATCGACGACCTCATACAAGTGAACCACAGTAGAGTAGTGGGTAAGAGTGGCTAGAGCAATGCGACGACGTTGTACCGGATCGCCAGGCCTAACATCCCCCTTCGAAAACGTTTTCTTGACCCGTAGGAATGAAGTGCAGGGTTCAATTGTAAACGTCAAATCGGTTAAGTTGTCCGCATGGATTTCCGAATGACTCCATGGCATTGATCTGTGCACACTTCTATCAACTCGCTGAGCTCCACAGTTTTTGGTAGTTCATACGTGTCCAGCAGTATATCCAACGGCAACTGAGAATTGGAAGGGATTGCGTGTTTTATCTGTCGTTTGTAACTGATTAATTTATCGAAAGAAATACAACGGTCTGGTAGATGCCTCGTGCAGCAGTCTTTCCATTTTTTGTACCACTGAAGCTTTGGCGGTTCGGTCTTGTATCCAACGCGTACACCCCTCTTAAAGAAAACTCCTAGTCACGTCTGACGTGAGTACCTTTGGGCGCATTGCATCAATTGGTAGACGTACTTCACGTCCAAACACGGCTTCTGCTGGGGATCTGGTGCAGTGTTGGGCGTAACCCGGATAACAGGAAAAACTGTACGACCGCCTCTGTCGGTTCTTCCCCCACAGTTTGAGAAGTGAATGCTTGAAGGTATCCACGAATCGTTATGCTTGACCGCTGGACTGGGGATGCCCCGGAGGCGATCGGCAGTGTTTGGTGGCATTACGCCGACAGAAAGCACCAAATTCATCGGAGATAAATTGTTTACGATTACTGGAAACCAAGGCGTTTGACGAACTGAACTGTGCAAATAACTGTTGTGATTTTGTGACCGTAGCCGCTGTCGTGTTTATCAGGCACACCTCCGGTTGCTTGGTGAACGCATCAACCACAACTAGAAATACTGAGCCAGCGAAATCAACGTGAATTCTATCCCAAGGTTTGTAAGCTGGCATCCAAGGTTGGATGATTTCGCTACTGAAGCACAGTTGCTAAATTTTGTGGGACACAATCAATAAAAGGTCAGCATGCGTAACTACTTTGCCTCATGTCGAGGTTGCCGGCCCGTGGCCGAAATGAGAGCCGGCGCATCGCAGGATAATGATTCAGTCCATCCATGAGCTCGTTCGTATTTGACGTGCGCGCGGTTTCCGAGTGAGTTGTTTGGTTGGTACGGATCAACGCTAAGGTGGCAAATCATTGAGTATGTTTCCAGTTCGAATCAAAAGGTTACCAGTGCTTGGCCGGTTAAAGTACGCATAAAGTTTGACATTTGGAACACAATGCTCAGCGATTGTCCCTCGTGTGACCACGTTGGATTATGCATCCGAAGAGAAATTGCCCCGACAATTAACCGACTAGTGATTATCATGATGTCCACAGCTCATGTTCCACTTCGCAGGTTAGTGATGAGAGTGAGCACAGTTGTATTTCCAGTCGTTCATCAGCCATCCTGAATTTACCGGGGCTTATGAAAACGCAAGCACTAAGCGGATTGAAGGCGAAAGCGCAGAGATGCCTACCAGAAGTTAAATTGCACATGGCCAATCTTCTGGATAGACTAATGGTTAAGCCCAACGGGAATGGTACGTCAGTGTCTTAGTATATTACATCGGAAAGGAATTGACGCATAGTGGCAATCGTTTTAGGAGCACTGGATGGCTGCACACGAGAAGTACGATGCAGATCGTCACTTATTAGCTTATGGCCACAGCATAGTACATATCGGTATGTACAAACGGTTGAGTACTTGGATGACAGCCATGCTACGTCTTGGACATTTGCAAAACAATGCGAACACTGGAAAACAGCATGTTTGACAGTGGGCTGCGGTATTTAGTTGATGTGCTAGTTGTCGTGCCAACGTGGCCGTAAACGGCGAATACCTGGTATTGCCACCTGTTAATGTTTATGCTTGCGCAACAGTCGTTCTTTGAAAATCTACACGTAACTCGGGCAGCAGATGACCGGACCGGTCGGCGACACGGAGAGCCTAAAGTGAACACTCCATCGCATTCGCACGCTGTGCGACCTTCCCCATCAGCTGTTTGTTATATCAAGACGGCCCCGGTCATCTTTTAGCACGCGATGATCGCTGGCATTCCAGGTATAACGGTGTACCTGGACGATCTAAACACGAGTCGCATCACAGCCAAACTTCCAGAACAACTGATGACTTTCTGAGGTATCCAGAGCTACGGGTTAAAGTTGAAAACACAAAATTCTAATTTTTCATTCAATCCATTAAGCATCACAGCCTCGACTTCGGAGCCAATGGCCGTCAACCGGATCCCATGAACATCCAAGCCATCCAGTAAATGACAGTTCCTAATGATGTTCCGCAATATTACTCTCGTTAACACTACAGCGCTTTCCTGTCATCGCTGCACGACGTGCGAGCTCCGATCAGTCAGTTAGTGCAGAAAGACGTCTCTTGGCATTGGTCCCCCACATGCGGTACGGCATTCGTACGGCTAAAGTCCATCCCGTTCTGATTTGGTACTGACACACTATGATTCAACCCCAGTGATTTTGGACGCCACTGAAGCGTCCAACTGGGAGACAGGAGTCCTCTACCTTCGGTTCCCACAAGGTTCCGAGAAAGCTGTCATACACGCTCCAAGCATCATGGCGGTCGCAGAAAAAAACTGCGAGAAGAGCGCTTTCACATGTAAAATGCTGTACAATCAACGTTTCGTATAGGTAGGTATACCTACCTATAGGTAGGTAGACTCACTCAAACAGCCGCCACACGCCCGGAAAAGGTGAGGGGACTACCCTGTCCTCTGCACGGCAGTAACGTGTAAGTCAGTGGATAGTGAGCGGCGCTATATCACATCTAGTAACTTATTCACGATGGTCGTTGCCGTCCTCCGTAGCTCAGTGGTCTCAATCACGGACTGGCAACAGTCAAGTTGCGGGTTCGAGCCCTACCAGGGGTCCGATGGAATGCGCACTGCTGATGATTCCCGAAAGGATGAAACGCGCGTACAGTGCTTTCCGGGCGTGTGACGGCTGTCTGAGTGAGTCTAGATGTGACGAATTTCTACCTATGCCATTCAACTCCCACTACTACTCTTCTGTAATCAGTACGCAGACCAAACTGCTCATAATGCTATAAGTTAGTTGGCGGCTTAAGTTTGGTAAGCTCGTCGCTTGGTGAGGGGGCTATCCTATCCTCTGCACGGCAGTAACGTGTAAGTCAGTGGATAGTGAGCGGCGCTATATCACATCTAGTAACTTATTCACGATGGTCGTTGCCGTCCCCCGTAGCTCAGTGGTCTCAACCACGGACTGGCGACAGTCGAGTTGCGGGTTCGAGCCCTACCAGGGTCCGATGGAATGCACACTGCTGACGATTCCCGAAAGGATGAAACGCGCGTACAGTGCTTTCCGGGCGTGTGGCGGCTGTCTGAGTGAGTCTAGATGTGACGAATTTCCACCTATACCATTCAACTCCTCCTACTACTCTTCTGTAATCAACGTTTCGTATTGTTGCTTAACCACAAACCACCACTGTTTATTTTTGGTTCTAAGAAAAGCATTCCGGCATGCTTAGCCAACGGACTTCAAAGATAAGTCGCCTTATTCCCTGCTAACGACCTCGAAATCCAGTTTTGCTTCATACAAAATTTCGGTCAAGCGGATGGTCTCTCTCGTCTCATTCCCAGTTGTGCAGTAGAAAACGCAATGATTGTATATATTGCCCTCGAGCAGACGTGTAACAACAACTTTCGAAAACGATCCTTAGTATGTAACTTGAAAATCCCCATGTAAGTTACTGAGAACAAGGAGACCGTTTGGTGAGCAATTGTTTTCAATGATACATCATCAGACCAGTACAATCATCTATAGGGCTGAAAAAAGCAGAGTAAAATCGACCAGTTAGTACAAATAACATAAACGAAATATCGGAACGAGTTAATTACATGTTCCGGAGTTTGACCTCAGTATCCCCGGTTTTCGCGAGCCAGGGAATATGTAAAG